ATAGGGAGATTTCATATTTGATATTTGCAATGTTACCAGATTTTCCGTTTCTCTTATATTAAAAAAACACTTTGGTTTTCCAAATTCATCACGTCATTATTGAAATCTCCTATTCAATAGGAGTTCAATTATATGTAACACTTATGATTTTATGTAGTCTGAAAGGTCTTAAATACATAAAACAGAAGTCTGGCAACGCCTAATGGTCTCAATAAATTTTTTATGACTAACTATTGATAGTTATTACTAACTATTGAATGAAATGATTGATAGATAACATTTTTTTTTAAATTACTTAACTTTATCAAGTGTTCAAAGTGTGCTCCATTTGTTGAGTTGACAATACCCTAATCTATGATAGGAAGCGCCTACCACATTTCTCCATGATTGTCTAGAAATTATTCGAGATACATCGACAATTCGTTGTCTTAGCTGTGCAAGACTTGCTGGTCTAATTTTGTAAACTGAATTTTTCAAATATCCCCAATAAAAATAATCTTTAGGAATTAAATCAGGTGAACGTGGAGGCCATTCAATTCTACCTCGTCTACCAATCCATCGTCCGGAAAATATAGCATCTAAATAACGCCAAACATTTACACCAAAATAAGCTGGAGCTCCATCTTGCTGAAACCATATCTGATTAAAATGGGCCCCAAACAAGTTTCGCAGTATAGGTACAATATCATTTCTATATAACATTTCGTAACTATCTGACGATAAATTTCCTTCGATAAAAAAATGGCCCAATTAACTGAGTACCTACTATACCTGACCATACATTTAATTTTTGTGGTCTTTGAGTATGATTTTCACGCATCCAGTATAGAGTTACGTCATTCCAGTAACTTAAATTGTGTCGATTTACACTTTCACACAGTGTAAAGGTTGCTTCTTCGGAAAAACATATTCTGTTAACGAAATTTTAATCATTTTCAATTTTATCTATCATTACCTCAGTAGACTCTAATCTACAATCGAAGTCATCTTCACTTAATTCTTGCAATAAGTTAACTTTGTATGGTTTAAATTCATTCTTACGTACTACACGTAAGACTGAAGAATGACCTACATCATATACTTGTGCAACCCTGCGTGAAGATGTATGTAGATTTTCAACAAAACTTTGCATTATATCTAAAGTTTTGTTGTCATTCATAACTCTTTTTGGTCTAACTGACAGGTATCTATATTTTACTTCGGTATCTAGATTCCTCAAATCGCTTTACAGTTTTTTGTACCGTCGTCTTATGAATAAGAGAACTGTTTGGGAAAGTAGCATTGAACAAGTTGGCTACTTCACAATAAGATCTTTTTCTGTCACCGTACCCTTTCATCATTTGAATGGTTTTTTTCGTTTAACTTTTTCGTTAACCGCCCTTTTAGAGAAGTTATTTATCTTGCAGAACTATAAAATATAAATATTTAAATTTATTAAAATCTACGTATTTTGCACTGTTTTATGTATTTAAGACCTTCCAGACTACATATAATCATAAGTTTTACATATGGTTGAACTCGTATTAAATAGGAGATTCCAATAATCACTGAATATACAGGCTGATGAATTAAAAAAAAACAAAGTTACTAATAATATAAGAGAAATGGAAAATCTGGAAACACTGCAACTATCAAATATGGAATCTCCGTATCCCAAAATAGGTGTACCTCAAAATTGTGTAAAATTAGGAATAGGAATTTACGAGATAATTGGTCGTTTCCAGAATTTTGGGCCACTCTGTATATTAATTACTTAAAGAATAAATTATGGATAAAACCAGAGTTTGCTTAAAATTTCTGCAATAACGTGAATCTGGCAAACGATAGGAGATAGATTTGCCATATTTCAGCAAGTTCGCTATTTCTTGAATGCTTCAAAGATCATCGTAGAGTAGTAACACACGTAGAATTAGGAAACTTGTGTACGTGTGATATATATCTTCTTTTTCTTGTTATCTCCTTTAGTAAAACTTAAAAAATCATCATGTAACTACCTTAATTGTCGATTCTAGACCTAATCCTCGACTTTCTCTTCCCTGAATTCAACCTTGCAATATTATCTTAAGAAAGTAACCTAAATGGAATGTTCTCATCTTATGATGTGTCCCAGTTAGTTTAGTTTTACAATTTTAATGGTTTTCGAATTTTCTTTGTCTTTTTCTCTCATTCTCAATACCTTTTTATTTGTGACTAGATATACTTGGCCTATTTTCAGAATTCATCAGTATTCCAACAATTTAAAGGCGCCTAGTCTGTTGGTAGTGTATTTCATTGTATGTCCACACTTTTATTTCGTTAAATAATAAAGAGGACACCTAGCATATCTTAAGTACATAGTAATGTTTTTGCTGTACAGTGTTTTATTTATATTAAGAACATATTATGCTTGTCCTATTCTTACCTCAAGTTAAATCATGCACTTATAACTTTCATTTATTTTCTATATTTATGCTATTCTCTTTATTTATAATTTTGAACTCTATTTGTTCTGTGTATATACTTAGGCTTTCTTGATGTTACTAGGTTTTACCATAAACTATGTCTTTTTTATGTTAACAAATAACAGGAATATTTTCAAATTGTATGAGTAGATCATTTACTTGTATACCGTTATTGATCTTCCATTATTTCCTGGATTATTTCTGTTAAATGTATATTAAATAGGATAGAGGATGGTACAACCTTTTCTGACATCACTTTAACTCTCTAATTTTTCTGAAAATTCGTTTTCTTCTTTAAGTACAGCTTTCTGATTATAATGGAGGTGGTTGAAATGTAAGTTTTTTTCTTTCGAATGTTTGTATAACGCATTAATATCGTCACGTGCCATAACCCCAGGTGAGTAAAAAGAAGGTCCAGAAGTTGAATGCTATTTTGGATATCGTAAAAATTAACCCAATCGGATGTTCTGTCTTTGAATTTAAATAAAACGAAGAAATCCAAATTTAAAGACGTCCAAAATGCTACCGGCTCTCATGTGTTTTAAAGGACACAACAGCAAGGATATTGGGAAGGAGTCAAAATATCTAGACTGGGGATACTGAAACTGTTTATTAAAAACCAAGTAACACAAACAGTAAAAAAAGAGAATTATACTAACTAGAAGGGAAGTAGTTACAAACTAAATTGAACTGAACAAATAGGCGCCACCCATTTGCGAAAAAGAAAAGTTAATGTTAAATTACATAGTACAGAAATAGAAAAGTCCATACAAAAACATTGCATATGTAGTAAAATTTGCATCTTAACATAATCTACATACAATAATTATCAAATTTCTAGACATACAAGAAAATAAAAAAACCCTGATAGACTGATAAATCTTTTTAGCAATTCACTGCTCACTGGATATTTAAAGGGCACATTAAAAAAATTCATCTTCATCAGCATTCTGCCTTTACAACCCTTTACGCGTGTCTTAGCCTCCTCAAGAATTTCTCTTCAGTCGTCCCTATCCATCGCCTTTCTCCGCCAAGCACGTATTCCCATATTTCTTATATTTTCATCGATGTTATCAAGGAACCTTCTTCTAGGTCTTGCTCTTCTAATCTGACCAATCGATCTATCAGGGAGCATTTTTCTAGCTTAGTCATTTTGTTCCATCCGCATTACATGCCCTATCCACCTCAGACGTCCTATCTTAATATGTTTTATGATATCAGGTTCCTGGTATATTCGGAGCCTTTCTTCTACACTAAAAGCCAAATAAAGTTGCGTGCACGTCACCAATGTCGTAATTCTATTGTATGTGTGGCTATATTTCTATAGAAAAGTGTATGTTACTTTAGTTTGCTAAACAATCACTTTTAAAAATAACCCGATTAATAAGAAAACTTTTGTAACAAAATAATGTATATACAGCTATGTATATATAGCTTTTTTGGATTTAGACGTCCGTCATTGTAAATTTTTGTGTTGAAATGTTCATGAAGGAACCACCAATTATTGACGGAGTATTAGTCACTACCAGAAATATTGTCATGTTGCCGCGTCGTTTGTTGAATTTTCATTCAGTGGTCTGTGACTTTTCTACTCGTGGTATCGTCGATTTTTGAGGTTATTTGGTGAAAAACATTTATTTACTTGTCAAAATGCCCAAACAGCTCAATAGTCGATGCAAAGAACTTGTGGCTTCATTAGTTAACTATTTTGAAGAAGAAAGGATTAATAATGGCTCTCTGTTACCCTTAAACGCTGTACAAGAGGTAATATGCGAATAAAATATCATTACTTTACTTTACAAAAATTTGTATGATTTTAGCGTGTAGCTGCTGCTTTAAAAATCAGCGTAAGAACAGTAAACAGCATATATGCATATGTCAAATACAGAAAAAAGGTGAACAGTTCGAGTCACCAAAGAAAAAGCGTTGCACTAATAAACGAGTAACTTATTGTTTGGTAACTCAGTAATAACTTTACCACTTTTATTGTGAAATTTGCAAACCAGGATGACGTTCTAATTTATTTGTTGTGACTTTGATTTAATAAAAATTAACTTCTCGTACTACTTTTCAAATGTTCCATTTAAATTTGTGATCAGTATATCAGTACTCCTTATTTTTATCTGTATAATGCGGTTAGTATGTTAGATGTTTATTAGTAGATACTTTTTATTTATGAAAATAACTAAGTTTTTTAAATCTTATTCTTTCACGTTGTTTTGTTTTCTAATGAATTAAATCGCTCTGGAGCTATAAGGTCTGACTCTCTGGTTAAATTTGGTTAGATTTAGTAGAATTGGTTAAATAACTTAGATGTCTAGTATGTTTAAAAATTTTGTGATAAAAATTATTTTAATCGAATAGGAATTTTAAATAAAATGCCAACTTTTTGCAGGCACTGCACTAAATAATATTGCTACTTTCTTGGTAAAATTATGTAATTTAAATGTAAAATATTTTAAATGCACAAAAGGAATACCTCGTAAGGGATGAAAATTCACTTCTTCCACCGCATGATCGGCTGCACATAACTAACACTGGCTTCACACTTCCTTTCAGCTAAATGGCATTAACACACAAGGCGAAAATATAGCGGACAATGGCGGCATCAAAGAGGCGTACTTGGCTTACGATCGCTGGGTAAAACGGAATGGGGAAGAGTACTTTTTACCTGGTCTCAACTACACCGGCAGACAAATGTTCTGGTTGTCTGCCGCAAGCATTTGGTGTTCGGTAACGAGAAAAGAAGAACTCCAGCAAATGATCATCACCGACGAGCATGTACCTGATAAGTTTAGAGTTAATGGGCCTCTCGCTAATATGAAGTTTTTCGCGGACGATTTCAATTGCCGGAAAGGAGCTCCGATGAACCCAGAACATAAGTGCCAAGTGTGGTAGTTGATATAAAAGTTTGTCCTGTATTAGGACGTAGAGTTTAATATTTGAATGCTGCTTTGTATTTTTAACAAGAGCGCACAGCCATCACCTTAGGCAATATTTTTGATATTTCTGGAATCTCTTACATCTACACTCTAATAAAACGATTTGATGAAATGGTTACATTTGGTCATTTTTAAAACAATATTACCACAAATATTGTATTTTGTGCATAATCATAAATACTTCCTCTGTCTTATTATAAACATGTGATGACGTAACGTTTTAACAGATCTAATTCATTGCGATAACTTTTTCCAAATCATGTGTGTAATAACTTAAGATATGTAAAGACCTTTTAACTTTTGGGAGGTAATATTCACTTTAATACGATATTTGTGTTAATTTATCATAAATCCAAAAGCATTTTACAGTAATTAGCAATTGTTTATTGTCTTTGCCTACTATTGCCTACTTAAGTGATTTTTCCGATGGAACAGTATTTCTATTAGGAATTAATACGTGTGTACGTAAGAATATTTATTTTTAGGCACTTGATATCTTATTATTTTGGCTTAAGCATTCAAAAGTGCCACAATGTTAAAGTGTTATAAAAATTAATATGTTTATAGATCTGTTAAAGGACAAAACATTTAGCGCTGATAGGTTTACCAAAAAGTATTATAAATTCGAGCTGATGATATTATGTAATATTTTTAATATGTTGTGTTTGTTAAAAAAATCCGAAATTTTTCATCAGAAATCGAATTATTTGGCGTAAATATTGTTATGTATCATTTATATATCATCAAAATAGGATTTATAGATAATTAATATGCCCAAATTAATTTTCATATCTTTCTCATTTTTGTAAACATCTTACATATATACTTTTGATGCTGATTGCGAGTCATTGCTTCACCAATTGCCGTTGGAATCAGCCATCGCACCAATATTCTGAATTTTAGGATAAACAATTATGTCACACAGATACTGCTCGGGCTCTATCATTACCCTCCTTTTTATCTTCCAACATGGCGTTTTAAGATTACCTCAACCATTTTGATCAAATATTTTGTATTTATCTATGCTTTTCTAATGTCTTTTTCTCCACATTTATTATTTTCGGAGTTTGCGCTTTCTATTCTTTTATTGAATTTAATGTACAAATTTGTTTCTAGTTTGGCAACAGTTATATCTTTTGTTATTTGGATGGATTTTACTTAAACCATATACAAACGCAAAGAACTTTGAAAAATAATATAAAATAAACTTTTTATTCATTATTTTTTTTTACATATTTTTAAGCAGGATTTTTTAAAATAGATATTTAGAAAATAATTTTCTTAAACAGAAATCATCAGATCGTTTTTTATATATATTTTACAGTGTTTTAAATGGATTGGTATTGACTTTGATGTAATATAAAGGCGCATTTTTATAATAAATATACTTTTGGAACTTATTGTTTCTTTTATCCAACTGTAGAAACTAAACGTTGTGTAATATTATATTTTGGTTTTAGGCATGTTACTTTCTTTTAATTTACCTTGTTTGGTTTTGGGCACAGCGTTTTTGCTTTGTTTTGTGTTTCAAAATAAATCTTTTGAAATATTATGTATGAAATATTAACAAATTAATTGTCTATTTGCAACATATAGGCAATTAATTATATTCAAAAAATATGGCTAAAAGGAACTACAACGTTAAAGGACTTTTATTATTTCATAGTGTATACAGATCCTATGTATTTTGTGTACATATTCATCTATAGAAAAGTTGTTTAACATTAAATTTCCTATTAAAATATCATCTTTTAAAGTCAAAAAGTATGTTTTTTGACAAAAATATATTAAAAAAACGAAGCAAAAAACAGGAATACACACGATTTTTCTATTGTATCCCATTTTTCACAGCGGCATAGGTATAGGTATTGCTTTACAGAAAAATTCTTATCCTTCCTCTTCACGTTTGGTGAAACGTGTAAAAAGTATTTAGGATTTAGTTTTTCTTTCCTAAAAAATTTTAAAGGTGAATATTTTTTTAAAAGAAATAATTTAAACTTCTAGTTTAAAGAAAAAAAATTACAATTATATTTTTATTTCACATAAACAGTTATAACCGAAAAAACATATTTAAATAAACAAACAAGACATTGAGTTGGACCTTCGAATAAAACAGAAATAAAACTATGGTTCTGTACCAAATGGCAGATGAATGAACTTCCAAACTTTACTGAATTATTAACTAATTATCAAAGGTTAATTTTATTTAAAAGAAACTAAAATACGACAATTAGCGAAAATTTATAACGAAAAATTATTATTTAGAAAAATTTAACAAAACTACTTGCTTCACTGACTAATTATTTCTTTTGAAATGTTTAAAAAAAGTTTATTACCTTGGATTTAAATACAAAAACAATGTCCACAAACTTCAAACCCCATGGGAGACACCAACTAGAAGCTGGACAAATCGTGGGAGAAATCAAACACCTAAACCGGGCTAAAGATTATCCTGAATGATAACAATATGTGATTTTTCAAACTCGGCTGCCTATTATTCACTTAAAACCATGTTGGAATACTAAGCCCTTAGACGTAGTTATTAAATCCCTTGTTACAGGAAACAGCTGAACACAAATGGTGATTAACTCACATTACAAAGATTGAGCTCAGCAAAGATTGAACAAAGCATTTTTAGCTCAGATCACCGTCTTCTTACCAAAACCTATTGAATTAAAGGAAAACGTCACCAGTTTTTCAAAACTCTCCAACGAATAACATTGAAATCCCGATAAACAAATCCGGACCTAGACAATGAAAGTGCCTCCTCTTACGGCGCCCCATCGATAAGTAGGACTTCTACAATGAGAGCGCCTTCTTCTTATCACGCCCCATTGCGAAGTGACCTCATCCTCAAAAATCATTCTCTTGCACGCATCAGCGGAAAGAATATTTTTTATTTCCAGCGTAATTATCTAGGCGGAATCAAGATCAATTAACAGAGCAAATATAATTATTGTAAATAGACTCGAAAATGTTATTATATTATATTATAACATTACCAATCTTTGGGACGCAAAAAGATTAAGAATATTTTTCGGTCTTTTAGCAAGCTAAATTTTACTAATAATGCCAATTTTGAGACCCCAAAAAGATGCAATTAAGTTTGCGACTCCCACCCCCGGGCGTTCCCTTAAAACCGCCCTACGTAGGGGGGAGAGGAAACGGAAAAACTCGATTTACCAAGAATATGTACACCGCACTGTAAAAAAACTTGTGAAAATAAGAAATATAGCCGCCAATATGATGTTAAACAAAAATATTTATAAGAACTTTTTCTGTAGAATAAACTGTTCTCTCAGAAACAACACTTGAAGCGACCGGCAATTTTAAATATGCAACACCTGCGATATTTTAAGTAAAATTTGTATCAACTCGACGGTAAAAATTCGATAACTTATTATTATAGTTTCTTATTGATAAAAATTAAAGTGGCTTTTAAAGATGAAGAGTGCAGGATTCATATGCAATTGTTGAATTTTGTCGTAAATGGTAAAAATCGTTAAAAATAGAAACTTTTGAAGAACTGTATCTTGGTCTTAGAACCTGTCACAGTATCCCATTTTAAGGGTAATTATTTTTTTCAATTTAATCTACCTTTTATAAAGAGTTATAGAACAATTTTTTCGAAAAAATGGGGAAAATGGCAAAAGTGGCAAAAAAAAAGTTATGGGAGATAAAAATATTTTTTTTAGATGTATATATACGAAAACAGCATAGAATTCACCCAAATACACACTAGTGTATAGGGACAAATTCAGCTTTTTCTAAAAAACGCACCACTTTAAATGGTAGCTTATATTTGGGGGTCTATTGACCATATGAAATAATAAAACCTCTTTAATGCTGTAGCTCCTTTCTAAAGTACATCATCAATAGCCTAATCTAATAGTTAGAAAACTGAAGTAATTCAGTTTTATATATATATACGTGACTATTTATTTATTATTAACATCAGTATTAAAACTCATCATCACCCAAATAACATGTCAGAATAATAAAGTAATTCTGTTTGATAAGCACTAATATTATTGATTTATTATTAACACTAGTATTAGAACCCATTATTACTACCTAAAAGGATAGGGCAAGAAATTCGCTATTTAAAAAACTAATACTTGTGTTTATATGTTCTTATAAACACATTTAAATAATATAATTTACTATTTTTATTGGGAATAAGCCCAGAATGTATACAATTGCACTTCAAGTGGAGATCGAAATATCAAAATAAACTTATTTTAAAGTAAAATTGTGGGTTATTCCAAGTAAAAACAGTAAATTGTGCTAACATGCCACAAGAAAATAGCGACGTCTTATCATCATGATTTAACAATGCCAACAATCCTCATTGTATTGGTCATTTGGATATTGAATTGGCAAGTTCTTTGTAAACTTGAGCTTCTGTTAAGTCAAACTACGAAGTAGTACTCTTTTATCGAGAAGATAAAGCCCAAGTCAGATATGTCGATGCTTCCCATATTGTTCACATATTTTTGATGATTTTGTATCTGGATTTAAGTTTTTTTTTTTATTTTTGTCATATGCTCTTTAAAGGATATGGCTCTGTAGAGTTCCATCCCTACTGTAGCGTTTTATTTTAATTGTATGTTAAAGAGCTAGACGCTGTGGTTTTATTAGGAGCCTCCATTTACAGAATTATTCTTCTTCTTATTCTCCTTTTCCCTCCTTATAAGCAATTCTGATTTTTCATTGGCTGATTATTTCTATGGAAGGTTGTCACTCCATCTTTTTCGCGGTCGTCCGATATTCCTTTTGCCGATTGCTCACTTATCTCTTTCTATTTTGTCGACCAAGCTTATGTGGTTATTCCATTCTTTTTTTCTATTTTGTGTCCATTCATTTATACAGTGTCCGTTACATTTTCTCTCTCTACTTCTCTTTCGATCTCTCAGCGTATTTTCTGAGGAATATGTCATTATTGGTCTTACACGGGCTTTATAAATTAGAATTACTTTTTCTTCAAAAAATGTTCCTTCTTTAAATCACCTATTTCTTTTTGAAAGAACCCATTCACCAGCGTAGCCAAAATTTCTTGATTTGTTTCCTGACATGTCCGTGATGTACAAGCTAACAGAGTTTTCTTGGTATGCTAATGTCGGTTTCCGCCACCACTTATATTGTTATTTCGTTGAGTATACTGTCTAGTATTCGAGTGCTACATTTACTCAGTAAAACACAGTTTGAACAACAGTCCTCAATTTAGTAATTTAACAAATTATAAAAACCTTATATTATGATCTCATAAAATGTTTTATATACCAATAGGTATTTGAATTTTGTCCTTATTGGTATCTTGTGGTAATTTGAATTATTATTTGTCAAGTCTGTACAAATATGTATAATGTTTATATATATATATATATATATATATATATATATATATATATCTATATATATATATATATTATATATATATATATATATATATATATTATCTATATAATATATATATATATATATATATATATATATATTATATATATATTTATGTATATATATTTATATACATATATATATATATATATAGAATTATTTATATATATATATATTATATATATATATATAAATATACATAATATATATATATATATATATATATATATATATATTCTAGTAAGTTTTGATATTGTTTTACTCTTTACAAACATTTATATAGACAAAACTAAATACAGTATCCAGCAAGATCACTTATCTCTCATTAGACATTGTATGTCCCACTTATTCCATCTTCCAAAATCAATTCTACAGACAAATAAACGGTGCCTCAATGGGCCCACTATCTCCAGTAATTGCCAATATATTTATGGAAGACTTCGACATCCGAGCACTATCTACATCAGTAATCAAACCCACATGTTCGCTACGATATGTTGATGATACATTCGCCAATTAGCCCCACAGCAGTGATGCTTTGGTGTCTTTTCAAACCCATCTGAATTGTATACATCCTAGTAGACAGTTTACGATGGAGATGGAAACTGATTCATACCTACTGTTTCTCGACGTTATTATAAAGAAAAACCAATCCCAAGGTTTTCATCACTCTGTTTATCGAAAACCCACCCATACCAATCGTTACTTGCATACCAACTCTCATCATTTACTTTCACAAATTACTTCAGTAATTAATACCATTGTCTCCAGATCAATACATGACGCAAGTAGACCCGCTGAGCTCCTTAGTTTAAATCAAGTCCCTATCTAAAATGGTTACCGCGAAAATCACAGCAATAGAACTATTCACAGACTTTAATCTCGCACCCAATTTCAACCCAAAGACTTAGATCCTAATCATACGACAGCTTTTCTTTCTAATCATCAAAGGTGTCACTTACAAAATCGACAAAATTCTTAAATCGAGAGGAATAAA